GTAGAAGATGACGTCACGCGCGTGAGCGGTCTTCTGACTGAGTATGTCCAGGATGACCCACGCCTTGTGCTCGTGGCTGATGCCGAGGTGGATCCCCCAACGCGCAGCTAGTAAATTTCCCGATAATTGACGTTGGTGGGCGGTACTCCACCATGCATCCCCGTCCACTTCACATGCGGCGAGGAGTTGCCAGTGATGGCCATGGTTGACAATAGGTTGTGCACGCGCACGGCATGGTGCATTGCGTAGGTCCGGTAAATTGGCGGAAGCTTTGATTGCTTCATCAACGCGCACACCTTCGTCATGAGTGTGCGATTCGTGGGCTCAGCTACGCCTTGCTGCTGGTGTATGTAGGGGAGGGAAATATGATGCTCAGTTCCTTTATGCGCCAGGTAATCCTGCAGCTCCTTAGAACAACGGAAACAGAAAATCTGGCAATCAGACGGAGGCAGCGCGGGTGAAGGGAGGCGCGGGGGACGACCGAGGGGAACAACAGGAGGTTCAGTCTCTGCTTCGCGGGAAGTTTCCCAATCGCCGCCGGAAATACCCCAACCTTCGCCGGTGTTGCTCCATCAGCCGGTGACGCTCGTTCCCCATCCGCCAGCGCTTCCCCACCCCCCTTCATTGGAGGCGCTTTCTTCTTCTTCGGTGCCCTATGCGTCTCATGCGAATGTGCCGCGTGCTTGAGCGATGCTCTGTCGGTGAAACTCGTCTGCTTCGCGGCGCGCCAATTCTTCTTCCTTCGCCACGATAAGTTTCTTCGTTGGGTCGCGCCATTGTGGGTACACCTTAAGAAATTCTTCTTTGGTGTAGGGTCGCGCCACTCTGCGCGAGTCGAAAGTTTCGCGGCGTCGTCCACGCAAGATACCTTTGAGCCGTTGAGAGGTGGGGTCCTGCGTGGGGGCTGTGTTCGGTGCCGAAGACGCGTTTTGTGGTTACCTCCAGCTCCAGCACTGTCATGCCTTCTTCTGGCAGCGCATGCCGCTCTGCTTCGACAACGCCGGCGAGGCCGCGGCCGGCAACTGCGCTGGTTGAAGTGGTTGGCAAATAGCAGTCCCTGCAGATGCCGTATGGGTCAGGGTCATGCAGCGCCAACTTGGACCAGCTTAGAAACTAAGGAAAACGCAGCAGTGGACTCAAAGGAAGGGTTAGTGACAGCAGTAGCCAGAAGACGGGTGACAGTAGGACTGGCAGCACGAAGAGAGTCGAACTCCGGGTCAGCAAGAGCAGGAAGAGAGGACTATGGAGGAGACGGTAAGGGGACTCGCTGAGGAGCAGTGGAAGGATGCAGTGCCATCTGATGCGTGCTCGGAACCGCAGAAGGACGCTGACGCGGAACAGGGCGACCGGTGCGAACAGCACGAACAGGCGACGCAGGACGCGACTCAGGCTCACGATGCTCAGCAAGACCTCCAGTAGGACCAGTGTAGGGAGAAGGGGAAGGCAGTGGACAGGCAAGCTGTAAATGTGATGCGGACGGGGCAGGCTGTGGACACTCGAAGGCGGAAGGCCAAGAACCTGCTCAAGGAGTAGAACGAAGTACGGCCGAGGCCGCGCAGCACCGCCAGAACCAGCGGGGACAGCACCAGCACCCCCAGCAACAGCTCCGACTCTAGTAGCACCACCAGCTCCAGCAGCACCTCGAGCAGCTCCAGCATCACCTCGAGCAGCACCAGCAACGCCAAATCCAGTACCCCAAGGAGCACCAGCTCGAGCAGCACCTCCAGCTCCAGAACCTCCAGCTCCAGCTCCAGCAGTAGGAGGACCACCAGAAGACGCTGCAGCTCCGGCTCCCGCACCCCCAGCAGCGCCTACTTCAGCAGCACCGCCAGCTCCAGCTCCAGTAGAACCACCAGGCCCAGCAGCTCCAGTACCTCCAGTACGAGCACCTCCGGGACCCGTGGCTCCAGCACCCCCAGCAGCAGTAGAACCACCAGCACCAGCAGCAACACCAGCTCCAGCAGCACGACTCCAACACCGAGCAAACCACTCGCGCAGCTCCTGTGGAGAGGGTAGCTCCCGCCGAGGCGAAGCACCCGAACGACCTCCAGGCTCCGCACCCCCAGGCTCCGCACCCCCAGACTCAGCACCCCCCGTCCCAGCACCCCCAGTCTCCGCACGCTCAGGCTCAGCACCCCCAGACCCGGGACCCACAGGCGCAGCACCCCGAGCACCACCAGAGTCAACAGCTACCTCGACAGGCTCGACTGCGTCTACCTGAGACACACCTGAAGGGGCAGGACCCTGAGGGGGAAGGGGGTCTACCGGGGGGGGACCTGGCACGAGGAAGAGAAGCAGGGGGGGGAGGGAGGCAGCACGGTAGGGGAAGAGACGGAAGTACGGAACCGACTCGTCAAACGTGACGTCCTGGGAGGACAGAACACGGCGCGAGGTGGGGTGGTAAAACTGCTAACCAGGCGCGTCAGGGGGGAAGCCAAGGAAGACGCAAGGAACACCACGTGAGGACAGCTTGTCCGCAGACAAGTCTCTGACGAACGTCTAAGATCCCCAGACACGGAACGCAGACGCATCACCAACCTTCCCCGTCCACCAAAGGGTGGGGGAGGTCTCCTGCAAGGAGACGCGGGGCTGAAGGTTGATCTGCTGCGCCGCGTATTGAACCGCGAACGGCCACAGAAAATGGGGAGCAGCCGCATGGATCATGGACGTACGAGCAACGTCCATGACCATGCCAATGCGGCGCTCAGCAATCCCATTTTGCTGTGGAGAGGCTGGAAGCGTGAACGTCTGGCGGATGCCCTTCGCACGGCAGAAGGCTTGCAGAAGGTCGAAGGAAAACTCTCCACCTCTGTCGGAGTGCAGACGCAGAACAGGAAAGTACGAGCCAAAACTCCTCTTGAGCTCGAGACGAGTAGTGCGGATCCAATCGATAAACACCCCAGTGACCTCTCCCTTGGTGCGCAAGGGGAAGACTGCGGTGTAACACGAGTAGTCGTCAACCACCAAGAGGAAGTAACGCTCGTGACCCTGTCCTCGGATGCGGGCTGGGCCCCACACGTCCATGTGAAGAGTCTGCAGCAGAGCCTCTGTCGGCAGAAACTCAGAGGAGTGAGGAGCGGCGCGCTGCCGCCACTCGACGCAGGGAACGTAGGCGGGGGCAGGCCCCGGAGGAAGGGGAGGGAGGGACCGGGGGAGATCAGAGACAAGGTAACGGGAGGCCATGCCTCGGAGACAACTAGGGAGGGGTGACCAAGGCGGTGGTGCCAGAGGAGAGTCTGGTGAGACAGGAGAAAACACGAGCAGGGGGCAGACTCAAGACTAGACCTGGACGCTGCACCAAACACCTGACCCGACGCAGTCACCTGACCAGACGTAGCAACCGGAGGAGACTCAGTAGTCAGTGTGTACAGGCTCGACCCCGGCTGACGGATAAACGTGGCCAAGTGGCGGCCCGTCCGAGCACACGTATAGTGGGTCACTCGCTGACTCGCAGGAGTGAACTGGTCAACCCCCCCATCCTGTAGGTCAGCACCACTCACCAGGTTTGTAGAGAACGAGGGGAGGTAAAGACCAGACAGGGTGCCAGAAGGGGCCACCGGACACGGTAAGACAGTGGAGAAGTGGGCAAGGACAGGGCCCCCAGAGGGTTCTGCCAGTGGGACTGCAACCGGCCGACGAAGCGGCGTGAGTGTGGTGCGGTCTTAAAAGAAGGAGCGAGACGCACCCGAGTCGAGGGTGAAAGTGTTCAAGGCCTGAGTCGACGTGGTACCTGAGAGAGCAGACTCACCAGCACCTGGGGCAGCAGACTCGCTAGCACCTAGAGCAGCAGCCTTACCAGCACCTAGAGCAGCAGCCTCACCAGCACCTAGAGCAGCAGCATCAATGCCCGGGTCAGGCGGAACACACAGGTAACAGTCACCCTCATTACTAGTAGACACAACATACATGGCAGCAAGAATAGCATCATAGTCCAGATCAAAGATAGCAACCCCCGACCTAAGCAGCTCGCCTCAGCGGGGGATCTAAGTGGCGTCGGGGAACTGGAGACGCCAGGCGTCCGACAGGCGGTTGAAGCTGCGCTGGGTGGTGTGCGGACCACCGCACGGCTCACCTGTGCGGTCCCTGGTACGCAGGACGTAGGCATAAGGACCAGCACCCCCACCCCGCTGACGCGCATCGTACCACTCACGAAGCTGCTGGGGCAACGGGGTCTCGCGAGTGCGCTGCTGCTGCTGGCGCTGACCACCACCAAAGCCACCCCGCTGTGCAGAGCCACCCCGACCTGCTCCACCGCTGCCTCCGCCACCTCCACCGCCGCCGCTACCTCCTCCTCCTCCGCTCCCACCGCCACCGCCGCCGCCGCCTCCGCCTCCACCGCCGCCACCGAAGCCCCCACCCCCGCCACCACTCCCACCGCCACCCCCACCCCCTCCGCCGCCTCCACCACCACCTCCACCGCCCCCGCCAGCTCCTCCAGCGCCCTTGCCCCCCTTGCCCTTGCCGGTGCGGCGTCTCTCGCTAGGGGCAGACGCAGTGCCGATCGACTCGGTGTTACGAGACGAACTTAGCTAGGAACGGGGTTTAATTAAGGGCCTAGGCTTAGAAGCCTAGGCCAAGCGGGTGTCGAGGGAGTTGTGCCAAGGGAGAGTCGAGAATGTGTTGAGGTTCACTATAGCACACGAGTACATATAGCAACCTTATAAAGATGAAAGAGGTGCACCACCATACAAGGGAATTACACAACAGCTACACTACAGGCAGATTATAGTAAATAGATATAAATCTATTGTGACACACCCCCTATCTGCCTGAAGTGCATAACCATGTGCAGAGCCCCCCTTGAAGGGGTACACCTTTAAAACCCCATGAAAGGGCGTGGGAACACCAGCAAGGGGCCCCCTCTGAAGCTGACAAGCAGCAACCACCAAGCTGCATTTGAGCCACCGTGGTGGAACAGGTGCCCGGCTGCGGTTGAACGCCCCGCAGCTGGTGCACGGTGTGCGAGGAGCACGAGTACGGGTAGCGGGTTCGGGTAGCAACTAGGTGCTGTACGGGACGGGCCGCACGGGGGTGACGGGCAGCACGAGACCGGGCAGCACAGATTGGGTGGGGCAAGAGCGAGAACTGACAGCACGGGTGGGGCACCAACGGGTACGGACAGCACGGGTAGGACACAAACGGGCAGATCGGGGCAGCACGGGCAAAACAGGCCAACACGGGCAGAACGGGGCAGGACACGGGCTGAACGAGGCAACACGAGCAGAACGGGGCAGGACACGGGCTGAACGGGGCAACACGGGCAGAACAGGGCAACACGGGGACAACGGGGCAGGACACGGGCTGAACGAGGCAACACGAGCAGAACGGGGAAGGACACGGCCTGAACGGGGCAGTACACGGGCTGAACGGGGCAACACGGGCAAAACGGGGCAACATGGGGACAACGGGGCAGCACAGGCAGAACGGGGCAGCACGGGGGCAGCATGGGAACATGGGGGCAGCACGGGAACACGGGGGCAGCACAGGAGCACGAGGTAGCACGAGCAGAACGGGGCAGCACGGGCACTGACAGCACGGGTGGTACAGGTGGGGCACGCACGGGAATAAACAGCACGGGTAGAGCACGAGCAGAAGCACAGGGAACACAGGCAGACAGCACGGGCACGGGCACGGGGCAAGCACGGGGAAGGACGGGCAATACGGGACAGCACAGGACCATGGGGCAGCAGGAGAAGCACAAGAAGCATGAGTAGCACAGGATCACGGGAGCACAGGAGGTGCATGGTCAGTATGGCACGGGAACGGGTAGCAACACGGGCAGGATCACATGCAGAATCAAGGGCAGAATCACGGTCAGGATCACGGGCAGAACACGGGCAAAATACGGGCAACACACGGGTATAATCACGGGCACAATCACGGGCAGCAGTACGGGCAGAATCACGGGCAGAACACGGGCAGGACACGGGTAGAACGGGTGGAATGGGTGGAACGGGTGGTGCACGACTGGGTACGGACAGCACGGGTGGGGCACAAGAACGACGGGGTAGCAGCACGGGAGACACGAGGCGGGGGGATGACAGGAGGAGGTGTGGTGGCAGTTGCTGCAGCTGGAACATCCACCCACACCCCCTGAACCTCCCCCCCACAGCAGCAACAGCGGCAGAGAGGGATAGGAGGAGGCATGGCGACAATTGGTGCAGTTTGATCACCCCCTCCATGTCACTCCCCCCCCAACAGCTGTAGTCGCGGTAGTGAGGGCGACGAGGAGGGGGGGAAGGGAAGACGGACGGGCGGTAGGCGTTGGCGGCAGTTCTGGCGCTTGCGCTGGCGTTCACTGCTGACAACCGCCCACCACCCCTTTCCCCCACGCTCCCCCACCCCCCCACATGAGCCGCCAACCCCGCCACTCCCGCAACTCCTGCCATTCCCGCCGCCACCGCCCCCACTGTCCTCCACACCCACCACCGCCCAACACGGCATAGACAGGCGCGGTAGAGGGGGAAGGCGCGACGAGGGAGGGACGGGGAGGGGCAGGGACAGTGCGGGTACGGGACGAAACGGCAGGTGCTGACGCGGTAAATGCAGGCGGGGCAGGGACGAGTCGTGCAGATGCGGGTGGCGTACGGGAGATGGGCGGGGTGCATGGTGCGGGTGGCGCACGGGCGGCGGGCAGGGTGCAGGGTGCGGGTGGAGGACGATCTGGCGCGTGCAAGGGCGTAGCAGCAGCTTCTCCCGCCACTCCCACCACTCTCGCAACCCCCGCCACTCCCTTCACAGCAGTTGCGAAGTCGACAGGAGGGCGGGCGGGGAACTGGCGACGAGCAGCGGAGAGTGTACGGGTGGCGGGGATCTGGCGACGGGCGGCAGTGCGACGGGATGGGCGACGGGCTGCAGCAGTGGATATCGCTCGGGCGGCGAGATGCAGTTGCGGGTAGCGCATCGGCAACGCGCAGAAGCAGCGGGTAGCGCGTGGGCGACGGGCTGCGGCAAGGAAGCGCTCACGAGGCGCGCTACGGGCCGCGCAACGGGGTACGCCATAGCGAGAGGCTAGCGGTGGGCCCATAAAAATTCGGTCCTTAGGAAAGGAACTGCTCGATACCATGTTACGAGACGAACTTAGCTAGGAACGAGGTTTAATTAAGGGCCTAGGCTTAGAAGCCTAGGCCAAGCGGGTGTCGAGGGAGTTGTGCCAAGGGAGAGTCGAGAATGTGTTGAGGTTCACCATAGCACACGAGTACATATAGTAACCTAACTAAGATTATACTAATTAGATATAAATCTATTGTGACACTCAGTGCCAACGAAGTCTACGGTAACAGCAGAGGCAACAGAGAGCAAAAGGGGGGAGGGGGAGCACCCCTAAAAAAAGGGGGAACGCGGGTCACCACGAGAGGCTCCTATAGCGACTATACTCTTCTCAGCTGCCATGAGCCGCTCCTTGAGGAGGTCAACGGTGAGTGTGGTGGGGCAAATAGAGAGTAAGTGGTCCCTGACCGAGCGAAGGGAGTCAGGGAGCCGGGTGACTAGGTAGTAGAGGGTGATGTACATGGGGGGGGGGGGTTCTTGGCGCAGAACTCAGCAGGAAGCGCAGCATGGTAGCGGGCGTCACTAGTGCGAAGGTGCGTGATGAGGTCAGCGACTGTGCGAAAGGCGGCTAGGTCAGGGAACAGGTACGGCAGCATGAGACGGCTAAGAGCATCAGTGGCAGGGGAAGAGTAGTGTGCAATGACAGCGTTGTACAAGGTCTTAGCACTCTTGTAGTGACTAAAGTGCGCGCGCTCAGAGAACGGCAAGTGACTACGCACAACAAGACGGGCGGCAGCATCGCGTGTGGCCCACTGTGAGCAAACAGTGCTGTCAGTATTAGCAGCAGGGGCAGTAGAGGCGCCAGACGTGAGATCGAACAGTGTGAGACCGTCTTTCCTATCGCACTGTAGGAAAAGCAGCAGATCATTGACCCAGACCTCAAAGTCGACAGCCCGACCCTCAGCATCAAAGACGAGGACGCTAGGGGTAGCCATGAGAGCAGTAGCAGTAGGCTAGGGGCATTAGCAGCAGGGTAGGGGCAGCAGCACCAGGCTAGGAGCAGTGCAATCGCAGAGGCGCGGCTCGGCGGTGCTCTTACCAGGACGGGTGGGTAGAGTGCCGTAAGTAGCGGGGCAGGGCCGAGGCGCTGCTGCTGGCACTGCACCGGCGGCAGCGGCTCCTGCTGTCGGCAGCGGCGGCGGGTGCTGCTGCTGTTTGCGGAGGAGCCAAGAAGGGGCCGCTAAGGGCGGCGAAGGGACCACGACGGCATAGTGAGGGGCCGCGAAGGGCGGTGACGGGGCCGAGTGAGGGGCCGTGATGGGCGGCGACAGGGCCGTGAGGGGGGCCGCGAAGGGCGGCGACGGGGCCGAGTGAGGGGCCGTGAAGGGCGGCGACGGGGCCGTGAGGGGCCGCGAAGGGCGGCGATGGGGCGGAGAGGGGGCCGCGAGGGCGGTGACGGTGCCGTGAGGGGCCGCAAAGGGCAGCGACGGGGCCGTGAGGGGCCGCAAAGGGCGGCGACGGGGACGAGAAGGGCGGCGATGGGGCCGCGAAGGGAGGCGACGGGGCCGCGAAGGGGCCGCGAGGGGCCACGAAGGGGCTGCGAGGGGCTGGAAGGGGCCGCGAAGGGCCGTGAGAGGGGGGGGGCCGCGAGGGGCCGCGAAGGGGCCGCGAGGAGTCGTGAGAGGGGCCTCTACGGGGCCGTAGGAGAGCGCGACGGGCCGCTAAGGGCAGGGGACGCGACGGGAGGGTAGGTACACGGGGCGCGACTCGGGCAGGGGCGGAGCGCGCTCCAGGCAGGAAAAAATATATCGAATTTAGGTGGGCCCAAGGAAACGTTCCCACTAGGGAACCTGCTCTATACCATGTGAAAGAACAAGGAATAAATGAACTAGGAAATGAGATGGATACAAATGTGAAACCCTTGAGTGTTGTACCCCTTAGTGTCTACCCCACTGTAGCCTACAGTGACTAAGTAATATAAGTCTGACAGAGGGGGTTGGGAAGATGTTCCCGCGTCGCCATTCCGCAATGTTTGAAGTCCTTGCTCCAAGCTGGTTAGTTGCTGAAGCAGCTGTGCGAAGACGGTGGTTCCAATCGTCGTTGTTTCCTCGTTTGTCGCAGCCGGGTTGGGCTATACTTCAGCGGTCAGATTTGTCTGACCACCAGATCCTCCGGCCATCCTTACACGCGATCGTGTGCCCGACGCCACCTTTCGTTCGCCGAAGGTTTCGGAGGTGGCAGTGCGAAGGATTCCCGAGTAGCTCTCATACCATGCTACGATAAGAAATTGATCATCCCTAGGACTACCTCACGAAGGTTCGCACACGACTAGGTGGTGGTGGTGGGCCCTTGACCTCAAAACAGAGTGAATGTAAAATGTTTGAGATAATCAAAACAGGCAAATACAGGCATATAAATAAGAGTACAGGTGGAATGCGAAACGACCTAGCTAGCCATGTACTCTAAGGGGTACATTCCCTTATTCGAATTTAAACCCAACCGTGCGGCGCGTTCAATTATGAAACTGTTCCCGCCAATACCCTCGCTCTTGCAGCTACCCGATGCCGTCTGCTCCGATGGTCCAGATCCACTCCAACTGTTTGCAACGCTTCGAGTGAACTCTGACTCTTCGTGTTCATCCTCGACACTATGTGTTTCACTGCTGCGGTTAGGAGTGCACAATCACATTTCACTATTTGTAACAAATGTATCCCCCTAGCCCCAATATAACCTAAATATATACACATATAAATGTTCATATATACACCCCTACATGCAAAGTGGGGGATAGCCACAGCAAGCAATGGTCACAAGACTAGACAAGAGAAGCACCAAAGCAAAGCTCATCGTGGATCTCAAGATCACCACACAATCCGAGCACAAGAAAGCGGCCGAAAGCTGCTGCTACTGCTGCTGCTCCCGTGCCCTCTCAAACCGCTCACGCTCCTCCCTCTGCAAACGGAGGCGACGCTGCTCACGGGTCAGGAAACGTACAGTACGCGGTGTAGGCACCACAGTGCAAGTGCTCCAGCTCCAGCACCCCCAGAACCAGCACCTCCACCACCGACACCCCCGGTGCCTCCAGTACCTGCCGCAGGAACACCCTAAGGCTCCGCAACAACTTCCAGCAGAGAAGAACGAGGAGGGAACTGCGGGACGGACGGCAAGCCAGGGGGTGATGTGGGGCGAGGCCGCCGACTCGAGGCTGCCGTGTCCTCTACGGGAGTGACCTCCACGCCCACACCCAATGCAACCTCAGAGACGGCACCACCAGCTCCAATAGCCCGAGTACCCTCACCCTCCGCAACTGCACCTCCCACACTCCCAGACACGACAGGGACTGGACGCTGCGGGGGAGACGACTGCTGAGTAACGTGCGACACACCTGACGGGGCAGGACGCGAAGGGGGGGGAGGGCTACCGGAGAAATTGGGGGGGGCTCAAGGGTGAGGAACATTGGGGGGGAAAAGACTTCAGTACCTCGGTGGGGGTGACTCCTGTAGTAATAGAAAGACTTGTCGAACGTGACGTCCTGAGAAGCAAAGAATTGGTTGGTGACCGGGTCGTAGAACACCCAGCCGGAGGCGTCCAAAGGGAAGCCAAGAAAGACGCAGACACGAGCGCGCGGAGACAACTTGTTCGCACCAGGGGCGCGAACGTGAGCCAGAGAACCCCAGATGCAGAAGTCAG